TAAAATGTTAGTTATATTATATAAGTCACATTTTAACTTAATCTAAGTATCTCTAAGTTTATATAAGTTGTTTACAAGGTGCTATAAGGGGCCTCTAGTTTGACCGGTAGCCTTAGTTTCTAATTTTCCATAAGTAACATAATAGTATATAACTTATATACTATTATGTTACTTATGAATGTGTTTTTCCAAACCAAAGGCCACTTTCAACAAGCACACCATAATCATTTTCTGCAATAGGTGCGACACAATTACCACCACCTTTTTCTCATATAAATAACAAAACGAAACCCACCTTATACAAGTGTACATTCTATGACATGATGCCATCGAATCACAAAAAAACATATCTCACATGGTAACCACCTTTCATCAAAATATCAGAATATGACCATGAAGTCGGAAATAAGAATTGTCAAAATAGTCTTAGTTTTTGAAATCTGATTCATGAGGTAAAGGCATTTCGGAAATAAGAATTGTCAAAATAGTCTTAGTTTTTGAATTGTCATTAATTATGCACGCATTTACATTGACATGTTTGCATAGAACTTGTGGTTGGTTTTGGTGTGTTTTTTAAGAGGTATTGAATATTATAATATATCTAAACTTTTCGAAGCAAATTTTGAGTCATCTCATTCGGGATTTTCATCATTTGACCATTAATATAAACATTTGGTATTATTTGTTTCTATATTTACTATGAGTAGATTTTACATTCCAATATTGAGTTGGGTTTTACGCTGAGGGGTGTTTGGTTCGTAATTTTTTTTGAAATGAGTGAAATTTGTCAAAAGAATCAAAATATGTTATCAATTTATCGGCCTTTTATAACTTATTATTATTTAATAAAAATGATAAAACTTTCATTACTTAAACTCTAATCCGCTCAAAGCTATATAGGCTTGTTGGTGTAGACATGGGCGAGTGGGGTGGGGTGGGGTGGGTATCGGCGTGGATGTGTGTATGTGGGTGTGGGTATTTGATTTGGGGGTGTGAATGTGAGTGTGGAGTAAGGTGTGTATGTGTGGATGTGATGTTAAGATGAAGTAAGAGTGGGTTGGGTGGATGTGATGTTAAGATGGAGTGGATCGTGTATTTTTGGATGTGATGTTAAGGTGGGTTGGGTGTTGATAAAGTATGGGGATGATGTGAGTATGATGATATGTGAAAGGGATATAGTGTGTGGGTAGGTGATTAGGTATGAGTAGAGGTGGGTATGGATAGGCTGGGTGAATGTAAGGTAGGAAGTGGAGTGTGTAAGAGATTATGATAATTTGATTTGATACGATTAATCATAACTAAAATAAAAAAGAATGTGTGGGCACTTTTATATTTAAAATAAAACATAATAAATAAAATTTAAAATCTTTGCCTTTACTCTTTAGCAAAACCAAACAATGACCAATTCCTTTAGACACAAATTTAATTGAATTTTAAGAATTTCAATTGCTTTGATTTTATCAATCAAACATAATTTGTACTAGATATTTACATTCCAATTCCTCCAAATTCCTTTGAAATCTATGACAAAACACGCTGAGGATTTGGTTTAGTTTAATATGAGACGTTTGATGAATGTTTTCTACGTATACAATTTGTATAGATGTTGTATTGATTTGTCATGTTTAGAAATATACCTAAATGAGATGAGATTTTATATTAGGGCATGACATGAGATGAGATTGCGTTCTGAGTTACACTAAGCTTTTAATCAAGATCTCAATTACATGATGATTAATAACAAGTTAATGACTGCAACTTTGTAAAACAATGTTTTGTAAACTTTTACACCACATACATGGATGGATGGATGATCATTAAATAATAATAATAATATCTAAATATTTACCAAAGAAACACTATTTTACATTACAGAGCTTAGTTCAGCATAAGCATAATACTAATGGGAAATGAGGTTTGTTTTATTAATCAGTCAAGATAAATTTTAACATCAATACCATTATCAATAAGGGATTGAACAACAGCTCTAATTTTACCTTCAAACTTATCCCTTTCTCTGGGTGTATAAGAAGCTGTGTACACATCAGCTTCTCTAGCCCTTTCAGACAAAATCCTCCCAATCGCCAAACAAGCAGGAATATCCGATCGAGATTGAAGTGCTGCTTTGATGTCCTTTGAGTTTGTCCCTGCAACTGCCACTTGTCTGCTTGTCACCCTGTGTGTCAACGAGGCTGAAACAAATCGCTTTGAGATGAACACATCTAGAGTGAAGGGCTCCATGTAAGCTATTGTACGCTGTTTGAATGATATGTGCTTGTTTGGATTCTTGGATTTCTTTTCCTTCTGGTATGTGTATGGACGACTGTTGTCATCGTCTACAAAGTCCTCTACTCCAAAAAAGCTTCTTGCTGAACAACGAGCCTGCAACATCAAAACCAAATGTTTCAAGATTTCGATAACAGTAACATTTTGATCTTGCAAATTCACCACGTACCTCACCACTGTGAATTTGCCTCGTAATAGCCTGCAACAAGAATTTCGACTTCTCACCTCCATGTGTATATGGCACACAAAATATCCTTTTCAACATGACTCGTAGACAAATATAAGACAATTGATCGAACACCTGGTGTGCAAGAAAACAATCCTCAATCCTTAACAAATTCCAAGCAATGTTACACCATTCACAGATATATGTTTACGATTGGTACTCTGTCAATTAATCATGTAATAAAATAAACTTCAAATCAAGAAATTTTTTTAGTGAAATTGAAATTTCTGAAAACAAATGAACTTACGAAGCGACAGCAATCCAAGAGCAAGCTAGGGTTTTGTTTTTTATGTCCGACAGATATAACGCTTTCGTTGATGAAAAAAAAAAAAATTTGTAACTGGGCCTACATTTTTGTTTTAATGGATTCGGGTACGGCTGTTTAGTTAGTGATCCATTCCTATTCAGTTATAACAAAAAGATCCGACCCGTATTTATCTTCCAAGTTCCTAGCACAAAATGCGCCCCTTTTACATAATCTGGTTGGTTTGCTGTGTGTAACTTGCAACAATGGCGGTCTCTCTCAATTCCATCACCTGTTCCTCGTATTTACACCCGCCTCAGCCTTCTCTCAGGTCAGTTCTCGCATGAACACTCGGTTTCCTTTCGCTAATCGAAACAAAGACTTTCCATTAACCATATCATGCTGTTTATTCGACAGCTTCGGAGACAAGGTTTTCGTGGGATTACGGCTTCAATCTCCTAGTAAGATTTTTTCGTCAATTACCTCCTCTTATCTTTAATTTTCTTATCGACTAATTCGCTAAATTTGTATTTTCCCTTTCTACGCCAAACAGATTCTTATGGAATTTCGAGACCTAATCTGAGTGCCGAATTACACAAGAAAATTCATAAAAGTATTGAACCCAGGTATATACCAAATTCTATACTCTATTTTAAGTTTGAATCAATGTTCTATCTTAATGTGTTCCGATTGAAAGCCACATTCCTAATGAAATTGGTCCCATAAGGTGCGCTTACACTTGGAATTTAACATCAAAATTTGTAGAAAACGGCTAGATCTGCTAACCCTAGTATCAGTATTATGTATGAACAATTTCAAGCAAGTCTTCAATTTCCATAACAGTTTACCTCCATTTTCAGGATTGGCATAAAGCCAGCAAGGGGACGCATCACCATGATGCCAATAGGGACTCCAAGAGTACCCTACAGGGTTCCTGGTGAAGGAACCTGGCAATGGGTTGACTTGTGGAATGCTCTTGTAACTCCTTTAACTTTTCTTTCAAAATTTTATTTTGTAAAAATCCCCAAAAACTTAGCTGATAGATATTTTAATTCAATTTCATTGCAGTATCGTGAACGTGTCATCTTTATAGGTCAAAACATAGATGAAGAATTCAGTAACCAAATTCTTGCAACAATGTTGTACCTTGACAGTGTTGACAATTCCAAAAGAATGTACATGTACATCAATGGCCCTGGTGGAGACGTCAGTTTTTTATTTTCTCATTATAATCGAGTTTCATAAAAAATGTATGCTGTCGATATGCTTTGACCTTGACTTTCCATGTTTTTTTACAGCTTACTCCAAGCATGGCCATTTATGACACAATGCAAAGCTTGCAAAGCCCAATTGGCACCCACTGTGTTGGATATGCTTATAATCTTGCTGGCTTTCTTCTCGCAGCTGGTGAAAAGGTGATTTTACATTTTTTATTTTATTTTTTTGGTAAACAAATGTAAAAATGCAATGAAGTAGTATTGATATTTATTGTGATAACTGTAAAGGGTCAACGGTTTGCAATGCCACTTTCGAGAATCGCTTTAGAGTCGCCAGCTGGCGCTGCTCGTGGTCAGGCTGATGATATTCAAAATGAGGCGAACGAGCTTCTAAGGATCAGAGATTATCTTTTCAAGGAGTTAGCTCAAAAGACAGGCCAACCTGTGGAACAGGTATAGTATTAGTATCACATTACTACAAGGGCAAAATGGTCATTTGACTGATAAACCATAATAATAAGTAATAACATGCACAGGTTCACAAGGACTTAAGTAGGATTAAGAGGTTCAATGCTCAAGAAGCTTTGGATTACGGGCTGATTGACCGAATCGTTAGGCCTCCACGTATAAAAGCAGATGCACCAAGGCAAGAAGCTGGTACAGGTCTCGGTTAATCTTAGTTAGTTGTCATTGAAATGAAAAACTCTATTATAGTCCTTTTTCCTTTTTCCTTTTCCTTTTCCTTGTATTTTATTTATGTTTTATAATTAGGAGTGGATATAAAAGCAAACTGATTGTTTCATACATCTTAGAATATGATGTGATGCGATACCATAAGGCCTGTTTTGTTACATATGATGACAAATGTGTTTGGTGTGGCATTATACTTCACATAACATATGTCAAATGTGTATTTGCTTAATAAGTAGGACAAAAAAACTTTAAAGTGTATAATATATGTTGGGTATACGTATGTCATTAACTTTATTTGAGTAGAGTTAAGTACAACGTAATCATACATAATTTTTTAACGCATGAAAATCACGGAGAAAGGAACATCACTGAGTGCCAATCGTCTCGTTCCATTACCATCTGAAAATATTCCCACATCTTTGCAAATCACCTTACAGAAGTTACACACAGTGGGACAGAAAACAAACTTATAACCATTATCAGTTTTCTCAATCTTAAACCAGTTATCGAGTGTTTCGCGTCCCGGGTTCCCTTCCACGCCTCCCACCATCACAAAATACTGCTTTATGGATTCGTCGTATTTCAGCTTCCATACATTTGACTCGTTGCAACGGGTGGGAGTGGGACCCGTGAACTTGACGTTGACGTCTGTGGAAAGGCGTATTATGCCTTTCTTGGGGTTGACTGGAGAGAAAGTCAATGGCAATCCGTAGTTGTGGGTGAGGAATTGGGTAATGCCGGAAGGGCAGGTGTTGTTGGTAAGTGTGATTCCGCCGCCCTTTCCGTCTCTAGCTGCCGGCATGACATGGTAGTTGATTCCTGGTCGGAGGTTTTTTCCGGTGGTGTCGAGGACGGAATCAGGGGCGGAATTGGCTGAGGAGAGAAACAGGATCAGGATGAATGAAAGTGGAATCAAGATAGTTGACTTCATTTTTAAGTGGATTATGGGAATGGGAATGTGAGTGTTATTATTGGTATTTATAGATGGAAAGTTTGGTCGTATTAGACGTGGGTTTGGACTTTTGGAACCCAATTTGGATTTGGGTTTCTACATATAGCCTATATCCTATAGAAAGAAGAAGATGCATTTATGTAAGGTATATATTAATATGGTCAACGGTCAGCGCCTCTCTTATTCAGATCTGAAGGAGTCGGGTAACAAACGGCTGGCTCTCCTTGAGCCCACATAATATTATTGCTCACAGAACAATTTATTAAAAGATATATAGATTTTTTTAAGATTATCTAAAATGCATTTAACATATATTTTAAGAAAAATGAAATACGCTAATATGTATTTGCTTAACATATACCTTTACTTACTGAAGTTCATTTCTGTAGAATAATATTTTCTCTTTATTTATCAATCTAGCTAGTTTATTCAGTTTCTATTTCATTTTAAAGAACAAAATATGAAATTCTAACCATTTAAAAAGTTTAAATTTATAAGAAAAAATAGAAAAATATTAAATTATTAAAATTAAATTGTTTGTTTTTCTTTTGAATTAAACAAATAATTTCGATAAATAATCAAAGGAAACCAACTTTAATTTATAAAATTTAAAATTAGAAGGAAATTAATTAATTAAATTGATATGACATCAAAGCGCACAATAGCAGTTGTTCTCTGAGAAGCTGAAATCTTGGAAGCACATTAGGTTAATATATGGTTTCATGCTAAAAAGATGATATGTCAACAGAGAATTAGATGCTATACACTGAACTTTAGACATATTGCAAAGCCTTGAAGGATAGAGGAAGCCGGTAATCTTTAGCGACAACGGAACACCTGAAAGTCATTAGCCGGTAGTTGTCTTTCAAAATATCTTGATTAGAGGCGATTTTCTTTCACAGCTTCACCCGATAAAGTAAAATCAACAACAAAATTGCATAATATGTTAACTTTATAAAAGCAATTACTTCTAATTAGGTCAAAACATCCACAAAATGTATGAAAATGCGCCTGATTCTTTGCATCACTCAGCAACTTCAACTGAAGAGTATGAAAATCATCTGAAATTAGAGGAAAAAATTACAGAAAATACAAAGAGAAAACTCCATATGTTTTTGAGCCAATATCCTAACATTCACTCAAAATAACAAAAACCTCTAAGTATCAACAAAGAAATTAAAGATCGGGGTTTCTTTGACACTTGTTGTAGATGCGAGATCCACCAACCTAAAAACTGATTTTTAGAGGAGGGACGATTGTAGAATCAAAGCTGCAAATCCATGATGCTATTGAGCTCGATCCATGTAAGCAGGCTAATGATGAAAAACCCTAAGGTTGGAGCTGAAGGCAGTGACGGCAACAACGTTTTCGAGGGGGGTGATGTGTAGTGACGCATGGGCTGTATAACAGAAAAGTACGAAGAACAATAGAGGAGAATAGATGTGTGGTTATTTGATTATAAGACATATGGAGGAAAGAAGCGGTGGATTACACATGCATACATCCGATTAAGCCAAATGTGAGACATGCGGTGAGCCGGTGGGGGATTATAGAAAACAGATGAACACAGTAGAAAATGATTATAAAAGGAAGAGCAAGAAAATCCTCCGATCACCACGTCTACAAGAGGGTTCCAAACAGAGGACACGAAAGAGGAGCAGGGCAGAGGTGAAATCAAAGAATTGATCTAAAGGACTTCAAAATTAATCTATATACATAATTAGTGTTAGAAATTGCGGAAGAAAAGATTGATTGGATTCTTTCAAAGTCGTGGATTTATAGAACACTCAATTTGATAAAATTCAAAGATTTTAAATTGAGAGAATGCTAATGGAAAATGTTCTTAAAAAATATACCAAAAAATACCAAAAACAAATATATAGTTTTCTGTTTGAAAACTGTCACCAAACCTGTATTTCGTCTCTAAATAATGGTGTATTTTGAATCTTGAAAACATAAACAAGCCTGTATTTCGTACTATCCTAACTTTTTCAATATTCATCAAGATCATTTTTTTGTCAACTTTAATCTCTCTCTCTCTCTCTCACACACACGCGCGCGCACACACACACACACACACACATATATATATATATATATATATATATATATATATATATATATATATATATATATATATATATATATATAGACCAGTTCGAATGAGGACTCCAAAAATGTTGAGGACTACGAAAACAATTTCCCACCACTTATTTCATCAATGGTACAAATGTCAAACCCAAATACTTAATCGTGGTGCGTTCGCATGCGATTCACGTTCGTGGTAATTAATACGGACTCAAGAATTTAATCACATGCGGCGAACATCTATGAAACGTCATTTAAAGTAAGTTTTATTATATATATTCATCTATATCTACTTATTATTTTTTTCGTTTAAAAAATTTCAAATATATATATATATATATATATATATATATATATATATATATATATATATGTGTGTGTGTGTGTGTGTGTGTGTGTTCGGTTTTAACGTTATTAATTTTTTTCGTTTTTTTTTTCATTTTTTTCGTTTTTTTCTCATTTTTTTATTTATTCTTTTTTCTTTTTTTCATTTCTTTAAAAATAATTTTACTACATATTTGAAGGTACTAGTGTTTTCTTTTTTATTATTTTTTCTTTTATTATTTTTTTCATTTTTAAGCTAAATATCGTTTTAAGTTTACTATTTAATAATTATAAGATTTTAAATAAAAAAAATATTAATGATCATAATATTTTTTGCTTATGCTTTTTTTTAACCATATTATTTTTGATCATAAATTTTTTAATCAAATTATTTTGAATCGTACTATTTTGAATTAAATTATTTTTGAATCATATGATTTTGGATGTATAATATATTCAATTAAATATAATTTTTGTTCAAAAAAATATGGATCGTTAGATATTTTGAATCATTTAATTTTAAATCATAAAATATATAATTATGAGTTATAAAATATTTAAGTCTAAATATTTTTAGATCATAACAAATTAATGATCATAAACAAGTTGAATAAAAAAATCAATCATAAATATTTTAAATCATCACATTTTGGATCATATTATGTTTAATATTTTTTTAAAAAAATTAATATATCTTAAAATTAAAAATAAATATTTTATAAACTTACTTTCGAAAAAATCTTTTTACAAAGTCAATAGTATATTCATTAGAAGTATGAAAGTATCCCTTAAATTTTTATGATTTTTTGAAAAAAAAATTAGGTTTTTCATAAAAAAAAAAAAGAAAAATAAAAATATAATTTTTTATTAAATTTTTATAGTTATATTTATTTTGTAGATAATTAAATTTTAATAACATTGGTTTTTCTAGATTTTTTTTCAAAAAAAAAATTATGAAAAAAAAAGTTTGTTGAAAAATAAAAACTAAAAACGCAGCTTACATGGGGCGACACGTGTCGCTGGAGTGAAAGATAGGTGCGTGCAACGCGTTTTCTCGGTGGAGCTGTTATGTGTTTTGTATTTGCATTTACAAGTCTACCCTTAAATCTTACAAAACTAGGTGTTAAACCCGTGTATTACACGAGTTGATTAAAAAATATTAAATATTAAAGTGTAACATTAAATATTTTTCGAAATAAAATTTCGAAATAATAAATAAGGAAGAAACATATTCATTGTAATTTATTGTCACATTTATTACAATAAATACTTTACATATATAAGTATAAGTATTATATGGTTTTTTAATTTTAAAATTTGAAAAAATCCATAAAATGATATTTGGATATTATTTATTCTAAAAATACTACAAAATAGCAAGTGTCAAAATTAATAAGAGATTAGCAAGTGGTAAAATTGATTTTCATTTATTAGGAATGATGGGCCCTTTCCGTTTTCTAATAATTATACAAATTCGCCATCGTTTTTCTAACTTATTTAATTTTGGACAATTAAATCTCAACCATTAAATTCCAGCAATAAGCGGTTATGATTTGTCCTTACAATCTTCATCGAAATTTAAGTCCTCACCCGATCCAACTTCAATATATATATATATATATATATATATATATATATATATATATATATATATATATATATATATATATATATATATATATATATATATATATATAATAGTCCATGTGGTTTGGGGTAATTTACACACTTGATTCGTAATTCTTTTTTTAAACTCGAACGGTCCCTAAGATGTAATTTTGTTGCGCGTTTAGTCCCTTGTAACGTCCTAAAAATTAAGACAAAAAATTTTGATTTTTGTATTAAATAAATCATCAACCCAATCAATATAATAAAACCATAGTGAAAATCAGGGTGTGTCAAATAATATCCAAGTACATCAAGAGTTATTGAAAACGCAGAACAATGTGGTGTGTGCAATTCAGTCATTTCGAGCTCTTAACCAGAAGTACGTGAAACATAAATTGAAAAGCGTAAGAACAAAGCTTAGTGAGTTCCCCAAAATACCACATACCATAAATATCAAACATATGATAGTTCCCGCCTAGCATCGAACCCCGTTCGATGCAGATCTGTCAGTCATCAGGCCTTGCCTGGCATCGGGCCCTGCCCGGTAGACACATAAGCATATAAACATATAATCATATAAACAAATACAATAATCACAAACATAAATAGCATACAGGATAGTCATCAGGCCCCGCCCGGTATACATATCAATATTATACATTCAAGAGTCACGCAAACAACTAGCATCCTAATCATAATAAACCATGCGTTGGCATTGGTGCCTTCGACCCGCTAAACATAATGTGGAAACTCACCTCTAACTGCAGAATCTCTCAATAAATCAAATAATATCCAATTAATAATTGGATCTCAACCCATAATTAAGAATCTAAGCCTCTTGTCTAATATCCAAAGTAAAAGACCATTTTACGCTTTTTCTTACTTGGACCAAAACCAAGGCTCAACCCATTTGCTCAAAAATCCCAAATTCCTAAATGGAATCCCAAGGCCTAATAAAT